CCCACACCCACACCCAGCGTTGAGAAAACGAGAGAAAAAGAATTCTGCTCGGATTGAGAATTCATTCACTAAGCGTACCTGGAACTATCGGCATACCGATATGGAGACTCTTTGAAGTCCCAATTTTGGATACCGTCATCTTCATTTTCTATTCCACATTCTGTTATGCCGTCTAATATTTTATCATCGTTATCCTAAATGAAAATTTATTTCACATTAGTGCCTTCCACATGTGTTAATGCATCACAATTAAGAAATATTTTTTTTTTAAACTGTAAAATAGAGAGTAAGCCTTCTACGATACCTTAAATTCATCTGACGACAAACTTGATAGATCGTCGATATAAACAACTGTCATAGTAGCTAAGCCAACTAAATTTATCATACGTCTAGAAGATAGTTAAAAAATAGATGGCAGTAGAATTATCTGAAGCCATACCGGTTTTCACTCAGTACAAAGCTTTTCGTCGGCATTAATGTATTTCCTGAAATTGCTGGTATCCATTCATTAAGATCAACAAACAATACTCCCAGCAAATATTCATCCTTTGAATTGTTTCAAGGCATTCAATCATTTTTCTCAGAAATATTGACACAAATTAATTTCTTACACTTTCATAAAGGTTGAAGAATTCAATCATCAGTCTATGACCACATGGATCAACCTAGAAATGAGAGTCTTTTTCAATGTCTTTCTATTTTTCTTTCCAATTACTCTAAAAATAAAAGATTCATTCTCCCAAGTTGGATATGATATTTGAGATTGCATTGAAGAATAAGCAACATCAACTAATTCACCCCAATGTTTTAACTTTTTTGATCCCCACAATTGTAACGATATTTTTGCGAATGGATATCTAAAAGTTCTTGACCAGTGATGGTGAAGTCTTACCGTAAAACTACTCACGTACCGATGTTGTTTCCATCGCCTGCTAATGAAATTTAGACTAAGAATAATTATATATACTCTGGAAAAATGATTGGTCTAATATCGTTACCAAACATTCATTTTATCTGCTGATAGAAATCTTTATCTGTTAATAACTGAGTAGCATAACAAAAAACTGTTCTTTCATAAGTACAACAATAGAAGACAATTTTTATTTTGGCCTACACTCTAAAAAAAAAAGGTTTTGTCGGAAACCTATAGAGGGTTTCCGGGTTTGTCACTATATGAAACCCTTTATAGGTTTCCGAGAAAGGGTTTCCGAGCTCTCGGAAACCTTCAAAAGCAATGAAAAAAGCTCACGATCTCGGAAACCTATTGAAGGTTTTCGAGACTTCGAAAATCTTCAATAGGTTTCCGGCAGCTACGCACTACCCCTATCCTATCCTCTTATTCTAATCCCTTAATCTATCCCCTTATTCCAAGCCCTTAATCTATCCCCTTATTCTAACCCCTTATTCTATCCTCTTATTCTAATCTCTTATTCTAACCGCTTAATCTATCCCCTTATGTTAATCCCTTATTCTATCCCCTTATTCTAACCCCTTATTCTAAATCCTTATTCTAACCCCTTAATCTAAATCCTTATTCTATCCCCTTATTCTAACCCCTTAATCTAAATCCTTATTCTAACCCCTTATTATAATCCCTTCATCTGTTCCCTTATTCAATCCCCTTATTCTAATCCCTCATGTTAATCCCCTATTCTAACCCCTTAATCTATCCCCTTATTCTAATCTCTTATTCCATTGCTTATTCTAACCTCTTCATTTGAGGCCTCACTCTACTCTGTTGTTCTAATTTCTAATCCAAGTCATTAACCTATATCTATCCCCTTATTCTAACCGCTAATCTAACTTCTTCATCGATATCAAGGGGAAAGAAACTGATTTCTAATGCCAGAAATCAATTTGAAATCAACAGAAATTGATAGAGATCATTGCTATTGTGTGTATATCTCAGCTTGTCAGAATTTTGATATCCATAATAAGGGTAAGAAATCACTGCTATCTGAGAAGGAAAAATTTGTGAGATTGATTTTTTCGTTAGGGAAGTGTATTTTCCGAAAATGATGATTTTCGTATAAAGTTTGATCGGAAGCTATCGGAGTCGAGCAATCCAAATCTATAAGTGATTTCGAAAAATTTTCGAGTTTCGATTTTTTTGTCAGGGTGAAGCAATTTCTCATAGTTTTGCCAGCTCTATGGGAATATCCGCATTTCTGCAAAATAGGCCTTCAGTGGCCGAAAAAATCAAGCTGATAAATTTTGAAAAGCGAGTCACAGATTCGAATTCCTGGACCCCCATGACATTTGGCCAAACTTTATAGAAAATCGTTATTTTCTGAAAATAGCCTTATCCTAACAAAAAAAATGAAACTCACAATTTTTGTAAAACGACTTATAGATTCGAATTCCTGGACCTCGATAACCTTTGATCAAAGTTTATAGAAAATCGTTACTTTTTGAAAATAGCCTTATCCTAACAAAAGAATGAAAATCACAAATTTTGTAAAACGGCTCATGGATTCGGATTCCTCGACCTCGACAACCTTTGGTCAAACTTTATGGAAAATCGTTATTTTCTGAAAATAGCCTTATCCTAACAAAAAAATGAAACTGACAAATTTTGTAAAACAACTCATAGATTCGGATTCCTCGACCTCGATAACCTTCGATCAAACTTTATAGAAAATCGTTATTTTTTGAAAATAGCCTTATCCTAACAAAAAATGAAACTCACAAACTTTTCGTTACCGGTTATTTGGCAACGGAACGGTAGCGGACTTCCTCTAACTCGAAATCGTCAGAAATCATGGAAATCACTAGAAATCAAGAAATCGGAAATCAGTTTGTTCCTCTTTGATCTGTATCTATCCCCTTATTCTACTTTCTTGTCCTACCCCTTTATTCTAACCTCTAATATAACTTCTTAATCTATATCTATCCCTAAATGTATCGTGCTAATCTAAGTCCTTAATCTATGTGTATCCCCTTAATCTATGTGTATCCCCTTATTCTAACTCGTTGTTGTAATGTCTTATTCCGTGGTCTTATTCTAACTCTTTAATGTATATCTGTCCGCTTACTGTAACCCTTAATCTAACTTCTTAACGTTGATCTGAATTTCATATTGGTGAACATGTGTCCATAGTATAACGAGGGAAGAAAAACCTAAGTTCGGCACGAAATTGCTTGACTACGATGCCTTTAGAGGGCATATAGTGACCATCCAATTTAGCGCGACTCTTCGGTTTTCACAGTAAAATGTGTCATAATACATCCAAATTTTAGGCTATTTGAAATATAAAAACGAATTAGAATTCTTTTTGGAACAAGGCCTTCTTTTACACTTCTCAGATTTCTTATGTTTTACAAAGCAACTTCACACAAATTAAGTAAGGTTTATGTCATGCATATCGAGCACCGCTTTACCTGAAAATCACACGATAGAACATGAGAATAAAAAAGATCATATTGGAATGCTAATCGGGTTTTGCATACTACTTAATGGGTTTTCGAAACTTTTTCTCGGAAACTCATAGGTTTTCGCAACATTCGGAAACCCTAAGGGGTTTTCCAGTTATGTTCGGAAACCTTGCTAGATTTTTGGAAAACGCTTCGACCGTTTCCGATGCCCGGAAACCCAAAAGGGTTTTCGATAAAAAAATATCGAAAACCCAAAGGTATCCGAGGATACGCAATGGGTATCCGAAAAGGTTTTCGAAGCAAAAGCGGTTTCCGAGAATACGGTTGAAGGTTTCCGAATCCGCTCTCTCCAAAATCCATTGGTTTCCGGATGCTCGGAAACCCTCAAGGTATTGTCAGAAACTCAACATAAGTTCGGAAACCCTTCCGGAAACCTAAAAAGGTTTGCGAAAAGGTTTCCGAAGGGGTATCGGTTTCCGAGGAAACCTTTTTTTTTTAGAGTGTATGCAAAGAAATATTTTTTTGCTGTTCAACCAAACCGTTTTGCATTCGCTAATGCGTAGAAAAAACCAATGCAAGTTATTTGATGATACGCAAGATACTAAAAGATACGATCACGTGTAATTTGAACCAGACAACTATTAGAATTCTTTTATCCAAGACTATAACCTATAATCAAACTTTTTTCCATAAAATATAATTCCTTGGAGTAGGAGATTATTTTTAAAATAAGAAAAATTTTTTAAATTTATTTCTACAATACTAGTTTGATGCTCATCTAGAAGAAAGAGCGAAAAATGAAATCAGTGTACAAATATAATGAACATGGATTTGCATTCATTCTATTCGAATGGAATCAATAATCAATATGTAGATGATGATAGATAAATCTAAATTCGTCAGAGAAAGCTGTGTATGTTTATCGTTGCAGATTCCAGAAAGACCAAGTGTGGATGGATACTTTTTCCTTTTGCATTCACACTTACTCATGCACTCTCACCCACTCACACTGGCACCCACATCCACTCTCACCCGTATGCACATATTCTACACCCACATCCTCAAACTTGCCTTTATATTTGAGGCTTGATAATATATCTAGCAGCGGTATTAAATCGTCTCGATACTTTTGTAACCATTTTTCCAATGAAAAGAAAACATTTTTCTTTAAATCTTGCTCTATTCAGTTCATTTATTACTAGCTCTCTCTCTCTTTGGATTTGTTATAGAGAAAATATCATTTTTGAGCCGAAGATTATTTTTCTTATCGCTGAAATTTTCTCGTAACCCTTCTCATCTAGTTATTGCCTAGACCACTTTCGAAAAACTACAGATATCTCCTTTTTACAACCGCACAGACACTTTCTCCTTCTTTCTATCAAGTTAAGAAGAATAGACTTATTTACTAATAGGATGAGTTTATCAAAAATTTCATCAAAGTATGACTGTAATAATTACCAGCGAGCAAGTTGAATGTTAAATATCTTTATGTAAAGTAATTTAGTATTTGAATTATCCTCTTGTAACCCGTAGATCAATCGTTTTGACCGATTCGGCAACTGAAAATCAAAACATAATGATTTAACATGTTTCGTTCAGCTATGTGAATTGTTACCTGCCAATAAATGTTTGTTTGTTTTTTATCGGTTAGTGACGTCGATTCATCACTGTATGAATGATAAACATTGTTATGCATCTGTATTCTTTCCCATACAATGCGAAAAATGTCGTACAGTGCTTTCAAGACGAGTGTTTCCATTCTAAATGCATTATACAATATAGAAATTTGAATTTTTTAATGTTTGTCATAAAAATCAGATTCTAAGTATCCACCGTAAATTCGGCAACTGAACTTGTTTTGAATAACAGATCTTTTTCATCACAAGTGTCAAATAGTTAGTAATAGAATTAAAGTTCCCCCAATGAGATCCTGAAGAATAGAATAGAAGTCTACTGTACTGATGAGTGATATTGAGATCGGTCTCAAAACGTTACCCATTTAAGGGCATTACTTATACTTACGAAATACAGTTTCGAGAAGTATTCCTATCATTCTACCTACAAAAAATCAAAATATTCTAGTATTCAAGTATGAACAG